GGAAGCTCTGTGGGTCCCCAGCACACCCAGCCCCTGCTGACTCCTTCCCAGAGTCCTCTCGGCGCCAGGGGACGGGCAGCCGCGGTAGAGGAGCGACTCCCGGGTGAGTAAGGAAAAGAGCAAAAAGACACAGACAAGAAGAATGAGGCTGCTGCCCGGCCGGTGTGGCTCAGTGTCGACCTAGGAACCAGGAGGTCAGGGTTCGGTTCCCGCTCAGGGCACAGGCCCAGGTTGCGGGCTCCATCCCCAGTGGGGGGCGTGCAGGAGGCAGCCGGTCCGTGATTCTCTCTCATCATCGGTGCTTCTCTCTCCCTCTCCCTCTGAGATCAATAGAAACATTTTTAAAAAGGAAAAAGGTTGGAATAACAGGGAGGAGGGAGCAGGAGGCGCGGTGTCCGTGGGGAACGGGGTCCCTGCGGGGCCACCCGTGCTCTGCCCCAGAAGCCGGGGGCATGAGGCCCATCCCGCTGCCCCGGGGCACGGGCCTCCGGCCAAGTGTCCATCAAGGCAGGTGCCAGAGTGTCCCAATGCCCCAGACCAACTCCTGGGCCGCCTGCCATGCCTAGGAGACCCCTCGAGGGGGGCCGGGGGGGCCCCGGGAGCGTGTCAGAGCTGCGGGGTGTGGGAGCTGCTGGGGACAGATCGCCTGCCTCTGCCTCCCTGGGGCCCGGGGCACAGGGTGGCCCAGCTGAGTGTCGGCCCAGCTGGCTCCAGTCAACAGAGCTACACCTGTCACCGCCCTCCTCCTCCTCCTCCTCCTCCTCCTCCTCGAACCCACAGCCCGGTCAGGGCCCAGCTGGGCTGTGGGGGACGGGGTGGGGCGGGGCCAGCCACCTCCACACTGAGTCAGCTGTTGAGCAACAACACGGCCGTCCTTGGGAGTTTCTGTCTGTCTAGAGCTTATCCTGCCTCCCCCGGCCCCCCCAGCAGGGACACGGGGGAGGGGGTACCCTTTCATCAGCCCCCGGCAGGGACGTGGGGGGCGGGGGGCTGCCCTCCACCTGCCCCCGGGGGAGAGACCGAGCACAGAGTGAGGCAGAGAGAGGGACGGGGACGGCCCCAGGGCACCTCTCTGCCTGTGGAGGCGGAAGAGCTGGGAGCTTTGGGGGACCCACACACACACCAGGGCTCATCGCAGTGCACGGGGAGGGGGGGCAGGGGGCTGCAACCTGGACCCGGTGCCCCGCACTCGGCCCTCAGCTCTCCCAGGCGCGGGAGGCAGGTTCCGAGAGAAAGACTCCTAAGTGAGGTCTTTGCAAACTGCCCCCGAGACAGGCCGTCAGCAAGCTCTGGGGACACTGGAGTGGGTCGCCTCCGCCCCATGCATCCTCCCAGAGCAGGACAGAGGACAGAGGGGCAGGTGGGCACCCCCCCAGGCCAGGGCCCAGGCAGGGCCGGGGAGGTGTGGGGAGCCATTCATTCGTCACACCTGCCTGTTAATTATTAACCAGGAAGGAGCTGCCTGGGAAGTTATGGGGGGGGAGGTGGCCCTGGCGTGGCCAGTTCAAGGATTTGGGGGGGCCATGCCTCTCCCCAGTCGCTGGGTCAAGGGGGCAGCACTGGCCTTGGGTGGTCCCGGTCGGATTCTGAGCCCACGGAGGGCTCCCCAGCCGGGCCAGCGCCCAGGCCCGTATATCGGGGCTCAGATCCGAGTCTGCCGGCCTCTCTGGGCCTCCTTTCCCTCCGGGGTGCAGAGGAGCCGGGGTCTGACCCCTGCCCCTGGGACCTTGACGGACAGACCCCATGGGACCTCGGACGGAGGGAGCGCCCTGGAGCCCCCTCCCCGAGCAGGGCCGGCGCCTGGAGCTTCGGGCGCTGCTTTCAGGGGAGGCAGTTCCGGGAACCCCACCTCCTCCCCACACAGGAACGGCCCTGCCCCCGGACCCTCAGCCTCTCCTGGCCTAAGAAGCAGTCCGTCCATCCGTCCGTCCGGTTGCCCAGCTGAGCAAGGTCCCCAGAGAAAGGCAGAGCCCAGAGGGGGTGTAGAAGGGGGAGACCCTGGCGCCCCGCAGGCCCAGCCACTGGGGGGCCTCCCCTCTACAGGGACAGCTCCTCACCGGGGCCCCCAGCGCCCCCAGCACCC